GTCATGTGAACTCATTGGTAAAAAGAGTAGGATCCACTTGAGAACCACTGCGCTACAGGTACAATAACAGCAGTAATACACCACAAGACCTTGTTATCAGGTATCACTAGGTCAGTTAATCCAAATTTTAGACCCAAACTACAAAAACTGTATATTATCACATATTATTTAAAATAATACCTTTTTCTGCAAGGACTTCAGTCTGTAGTTTGGTGCTGTGAGACAGTAGCGGTCTGGTGGAAGACGTGGGCCTGTGTATGGTTTGATCAGTGGCAAAGGAGTTTGGTTCTTCTGCCTTGCAATGTCCAACAGAAACTGAAACCATGGACCAACCACCACTATTAATGATCAGAAGTCACAAATGTGTTATGCATTAAAAAAAACACATAAGTCAACAAGAACAACTTACATCTCGTGGTGGAGGAGACGTGAATGACTGATCCACTCGACACTGGATTGCTAACCTTATATCATCTGCATCCACACTGGACTTCTTGGCATGGGTGGAATATATTTTTGCATCTTCAATAATAGTTGTTACGTATCCTGAAAAAAAAAAAAAAACATCAGACAGTGAATGCTATTGGACGACTTGCTAGTACAGAACAGTAACAGATGGAGTTTGTTAAAGCATTTTACAATATGTTAGCGGTGTAAAGTCATCTTGACTTACTGTATGTAAATTCCAGCATCTGATTGATCACTCTGGGCTCGTACTCCGTGATCCCCATGTCCTTAAGAATCTGCATCATAACCTTTGAAGATAATAAAATAAAGTAAAAAACTGCACAAGGAAAATATCATGCATATTATATTAGCTGCATCCCTGCATATTTATCAGCAAATATCTTAGCCTAGCTAATATATTTTGTTAAAATCGCACCGCATTAAAAATCTATTACAGTGTTAACGTTAGCGTGGTAACGCGTGTGTGCACAAAGAAGAATAAGGCGAGTAATATACACAGTCGCTCTTTAAACCTGCTGCTTTATTCGCTATGGTTTAAACACAATAAATATTGCACAACACGGAGATAAAACAGTTTCTAAAGCATTATTTACCTGTGCATCTTTAGGCACTGTTTTCGGAGACGCCATTTTCACATGACTTGATTATTCTTCTTCTTCTTCTTCTTCTTCTTCTTCTTCTGATGTTTATTGGCGGTTTTGGCAAACCAACTTAAAGGTGCATTACCGCCACCTACTGATCTGGAGTGTGGAGTGAACATAGATTTGGTAGAAAGAAGGATATATATATTTAAAAAAAAAAAGAAAAAAGAAAAAAAAAAACTACCACAATTACAATTTATATTCTTTCCATATTTCCTGTCTTTTTTAGATAATTGAACACTTCTTCTTTAATTCTTGATTGCATTTGTCTATTCCCTAGTAATATCTTGAGTGATACTTTATCATGTCCCATCAAACCTAATTTATGATTAAGTTGATTTCTTTCTCTTTCATACGCATCACATTCTAGAAGAATGTGCTTTACTGTTTCTGGATTCCCACATTTATCACATCTTCCATTTTCATGCTTCCCTATTTTGTGTAAATTGAAATGTAAAGCTGAATGTCCAATCCTCATTCTTGTTATAATAACATCTTTCTTCCTACTCCCACATCTTATTCTCTCTTCGCCTACACACCCCTGTATCTTGTAAAGATGCCTTCCTTTTATACCACTATCCCATATCTTTTGCCATATCTTTCTTACTTCAATTGATATAATTCTCTTGATTTCAGATTTGCTAATTGCTATATTAATTTCACTATGTGAGTGCTTCAGAGCCATCTTAGCCAAGCAGTCCACTTCCTCATTTCCCTCCACCCCAGTATGAGCCGGTACCCATAGGAAGTATACCATTATCCCTAATTCTAAACAAGTACTGTAATACTTCATTTATTAGATCTTGCCGTGCTGCAGATTTTCCACTCACTAGACTTATTAGAACAGACATTGAAACTGTACATATTACAATATTATTTGGTTGTATTTCTTCAATCCATTGTAGTGCTAATATAATTGCTATTAATTCTGTAGTAAATACAGACATATGATCTGATATTCTTTTGGCTATTTGAATTTTAAATGCAGGAATATATACTGCTGCTGCTGTCCTTCCAGATTCAGGATCCTTCGACCCATCCGTATATATCTGTAACTGTGAATAATATGCTTGATTTATATACTGTTGAACTACTATATTTACGTAGTGAGCTGCCTACCTAGAAAGCATTTTGGCAAAGTAGGCGGTACCGAAGCAGAGCAGCCAATCTGGATGAAGAAACCTTGAGTGGCAGCCAATCACAGAGGGATAATCAAACACTCAGCAAACTGTCACGCGCCAAGTGAATCGAGCAGCCAATCAGCAGCGGCCTAGACATTAAACGGGCCCAAAATGTAAGCACGTACGTGGGGCAAGTTCAAGTTCAAACCGCTGCGCAACGTTTTGCTACGGTTTTGACAGCTGTCCGTTTTTACGACATGTTTCCTGGAAACGGTGTGCAACGGGGTTTGAGATACGTTTTCTCTTGTTTGGTGGGTGTGTCAAAAATGTCAGCTCAATCAGCAGCAGCATGTATATAAACCACGTGGTATTAAAGAGACAGCTGGCACAATGTAATTAACATCCAAATAAATTCACAAGAGCAAGTATATTGTTTGCACATGTTTATT